GGAACGCCGCGAACGGCCGCCTCTGGGGCACACACGGCTGCAGGCGGCTGAAAGGGTGACGGTTGGCAGTCCGACCGTCCCGCCAGACCCGGCGGACACCACCGCGGCCGCTACCTACGTGCCTCCGCGTACATCTCGGTCAGTGGCCAGCGCCGCCGGGCGCCTCGTCGCGCGGACAGGCGGCCACGATCGCCGCCGATCCCGAACACACCGCAAGAGGGGCCGCAGGAGGGGGGCGAGGGGGGGCCGCCCGGGAGGCGCCCCCGCCAGCCTGGCGTGCGCGAAGCAGCGGCCACCAACCCGCGCCGGGCCCGAGGAGCGCCCTCGGAGTGCCGAGGCCGAGTGCGCAAGCCAAGGACCGACCGGCTCCAGGGCAGGCCACCCATCCCGAGGGGAGCCAACCATGTGGTGTCCCCGCGCACGAACGCGCACGCGGCCCAGACACTCCGGCGCTGCGTGAGGCTTCCTTTCCCCGGTGGCGACTGGGCATCCGGCGCGACATCTCTTTGGCCCCCCCCCCCCCCCCCATCCGCGGACCTGGGCACAACACACCCCCATGCGCCTCCGTGCGCAACAGCCCCCACAAGAAGCCGGGGGGAGGGGGGGGCCGTAGTCAACAAACAAGCGTCAGCCCCGCGGGCGCGCGTTGCTTGATCGTCCCGGAGGCCGGGGGCTGGGGGCCGTCCTGCCAGCCCCCCACTCTCGGGGGGGCGATCGGCCCCACCCTGGCCCCCTCCTCGCCCGGCCAAGTGTACACGACGCCTGCCCCCCCCCCCGCCTGCCGCCTGCCGCCTGCCGCCTCCTATCACCCTCTGAGCGAGACGCCGTGAGATCATCCTTAACCCTGGCCGGATGACCGCACGCCCGGATGAAGTTTATATAATCCGGCCACCGCCGCCGCCGCCGCCGCCGCCGCCGCCGCCGCCGCCGCAACAGCCGGAGCACAGCAACCGAGAGGAGGCTGCCCCTGCCGGCGGCGCACCCATCGCGCCGCTCCCTCGACGAGATCCACGATCGGAGCGCACGGCCAGCGGAGAATGCGCCGGCTCGGGCCCCGAGCGCTTCTCCCCTGCGCACATGCCTCGGGGGGGAACAAAATATATGGCCTGATTTTCGTCCGACCAGCCGGCTCGCCCGCCCCACCGGGCCCTGGCCGGAGAAACAAGCCCGCATCATATGGAGCCGGCGCGGGGGGGGGGGGGGGGGCGCGGCACCCTGCCTGGCCCCCACGCACGCCGGCAGCAAGACCACATGCTCCTGAGCCGCGCTCACCACCAAGGTGGGCGGAGGCCGGGTCGGGGGCGCTTCCCGGTGCGATATTCCGGACCGGGGAAGGTCGGCCGGCGAAGGAGCCTAGGCTGCCCGGGGGCGCAGAGTGCCGCCTGACACCGAAGCCAGCCCGAGCCTCGGTCCCAAGTATGGTGCCGAGCCGGGACGGCGGCGGAGAAGACAGGGCCGGCCTAGGCCGCCCTGTGCACCCCCCGCCCGGAAGCCCCCGCCCACTCCGCCGGCTTCTCTTTGCAGGGCGGGCCCGCGCCACACCCAGCAACGCACAGAGGGCCCCCGGCCGGTGCGGCGAGGAGGAGGCGGGGTGAAACTCGCTTCGATCTCGGACACCCACGAGCACGACCCGCTGGGCGTGCCCCCGCCCCGGTCAAGGGTGTGACCGGCCTGGGCCCCGCATCTCTCCGGGGCACGCCATGGTGGCAGATCGGCCGCGGCGGTCTGATCACCATCGCGCGGGTACCGGCAGGCGTGGTGGTTATTTTTCACGCGGGCCCTGGGACTGGGCCCGTCGGCTCCGGTGCGGTTTCCCCTTCGGCTGGCCACCCCCGGCCGGCCTCGTCGCTTCCTCTGTCTCTCTCTCTCTCTCTCTCGCCCTCCACTTTGGCCTGGCATCTTCGCCGGCGCCCTCGGGAGCCATCCTCCCGGGGGCGCCTATACAGGCTGGGAAGGTCAAGCCCAGCCCAGCCCGGCTCCCCGCCCCCATACACAGGCGGCCACCCCAACCGGTTGCCCCTCCAGGTCCGGGTCGTCTAGTTTCCCGCCGCAGGGATCACGCCCCTTTGGTAGCTACACGGAAGGACATTGCCAGATCACGTACATTGGTGATCAGTTAACTCAAATGCACATGCGTTGGGAGTGCCCCGCTCCGATCCCGCCTCGCATTCCCCCAGCCCCCCCGCCCCCGCGAGTGTGCCCTCGGCCTGCGCATGAGCGCGCGCACTTTCGCGCGGGAATCCTGCTGGCGCCCGCGCAGCCTCGAGGGTCGGTTCGGGGCGTGTCGGCCAGCGCTCCCCGGGGGCCAGCGCTCTCAGGCCCACGCTCGCCCTTGATGTCCCCCCCCAGCCCCCCAGCCCCCTCCTCTTCCCTGGGTGGCGGCTGCCAGGGGACACAGCCACCTGTGTGCGCGCACTGGCACGTCCCGCATCCCGCCGGACGCCTGCTCCACCCCGCCCGGGCCCCCGCCCGGCCTCCCCATGTTACGTACCGAAATGTAGGGATGCCCCGACAAGGCGGCGCGTTTCTCCACATTTGGCCCACTTGTGACGTGTGGCGTGGAAGGGGGGGGCTATCGGGGAGGGGGGGAGGGGGGGGGGGGGGACACCCTGGGTCGGCTCCCCCCTCCCAACGATGCTGGCGCATGCTTGCCCGGAAGGAGCCGTCTCAAAAGGCACAGGCCAGGAGCCTCGAGCGTCCGTGGCCGCCCCCCACCCCCCTCCTCCCCCTCCCCCTCCCCCACCACCCCTCCTCCCCTTGTCTGCCTCCCTCGACCCTCGAAACCCGCCACCATGGCTCTGATCGAGTACTCCATCGCCCAGAAGCAGCTTAAGGTACGGCCGGACCTCCGCACCCTCCCCTCCGGGCCCCTTTGCGCCGACCCGTCTCACCTGCTTCTTCAACCCCCCCCCCCCCCTGCCTCCGC